ACCTTATCTTGTTGCTTAGCAGGTAAAATTAAAATTTTAATTTATTCTCATGCTTAATCAATTGACTTATTCAGTTGATTTCATAATTTTTATGAATCATTCTGTAATGGTACTTGTTTAGTCGCGTAGTTTGTACAGATTGTGTAATTCATTTATAGATTAAGAGTCGATGTGCCTCATGACCAAAATGGATTAGAGTTTAAAGCATGCCATTAGGGAAAGTTCTGTCTTGATGCCTTGAATTGTCTAGTTGTACACTAAAACTAGTCTGCTTTAACTTGAGACTGAAATCATGTGCAACTAACCCATCCTTAGTTTGCAAGAGCAGAAACCCAATATACTCGTAATAAAAGATATGAAACTTGGAGCCCGTTTGGTAACACTAGAATCAGCTGAATCGGTTGTTTCTAGTGATATTTATGAAGTTCTGGCTGAAATGGCTGTATTGGCTGATTATTGAAAAATTTATATATAAAATATACTCCGTATTTTATTTATAAAATAAAGAAAAAATTATATTAAAAGATAGCTAAAACGATCCTCTATAGTAAATTCAGCCAATACAGTTAGAAAAGTAACTACAACCTTATATTTTCTAGTTGAGTGATACCAGTTGAGTTTTGTTTTTAGTCTATTATGGTATTGTTCTTTCTGCCGTGCAGCTTATTTTAATAGGTAGAATATTTTATATTTTTCTTTATTTGGTTTAGCTTATGCGGTCTTTTTTTCTCCATTTTAGTGAATTCTAAAGTAATGGAGATAGATAGAACGTGGATGTATACACATAGACTTTCTCTCAAATTCAAGGATGGTTTATCTAATTTCCTTGATCACGCTTTCGCTAAAGTAGCTTGTGGGGATCAAGTTCTCTGCCCATGCAAACAGTGCAAAAATCGTTATTGGTTTCGCAGGGATGAAGTGTGGAATCATGTAATAGTAAAGGGTTTTGTGGAAAATTATTTCAAGTGGAACTTTCATGGAGAGGGACCTATGTCAAATGATCCTAGAGCTGAAGATGAAAATGATGATGACGTGTTTGACAACATCGATGATCTTTTAAGCGATAGGTTTAGAGGATGCCATGAAAGTGAGAGACAAGATGGTATGAACGATGATGCGAGAAAATTCTATTCTTTGCTCGAGGAAGGAAAGCAAGAATTGTATCCAGGATGTAAAAGCTTTACTACTCTATCTTTCACGATCCGCCTTTTACTTTTCAAGACAATCAATGGAGTGAGCAATGCTGCGTTTTCTGAATTACTAGCGCTTTTCAAAGAAGTAATCCCTCATGGTAAATTTCCTAAATCATTCAATGAAGCCAAAAATGTGCTAAAAGACATAGGGCTTCAATACGAAAAGATACACGCATGTCCCAATGACTGCATTCTCTACTGGAAAGGAGATGCTAATCTAGAACTGTGCCCTAAATGTCATACCTCTAGGTGGAAATTGAATGAAGAAAAAAAGAATACTCATAAGGGGAATGTACCAGCTAAGGTTTTGTGGTACTTTCCATTAAAACCAAGGTTGAGGATGTTATATATGTGCTCAGAAACCGCTGAACAAATGACATGGCATGACTCAAAACGCCCAAGGGATGGTAAGATTAGACATCCGGCAGATGGTGACGCTTGGAAGAAATTTGACTCATTGCACCCTAATTTTGGAAAGGAAGCTAGAAATGTGAGGCTGGGGCTTGCGAGTGATGGATTTAATCCTTTTCGTACAATGAGCATTGCTCATAGTACTTGGCCAGTGGTTTTGATAAATTACAATATTCACCCTTCGTTGTCAATGAAGTCAGAAAATTTAATGTTGTCCTTATTGATACCAGGACCACACTCTCCTGGAAATGATATCGATGTGTATCTTCAGCCATTGATAGCAGATTTGAAGGATTTATGGACTGATGGTTTTGAGACATACGATAAGTATAGGGGTGAGTCATTTAAATTACATGCTGCAGTGCTATGGACAATTAGTGATTTTCCCGGTTACTCTATGCTTTCTGGATACAAAACGAAAGGAAAATTTGCATGTCCCGGGTGCAATTATGATACTCCTTCATTGTATCTCAAACATAGTAAGAAGACTGCTTACCTGGGCCATCGTCAATATTTAGATGTTGATGACCCAAAGCGGAATACAAGAACATCAATTGAGAAGAGGCTTCCACCAAAGTCGTTAACTGGATTAGATGTTTTTGAGGAGCTATCTTCATTTAATAATGTGTTTGGCAAGGCACAGAAGAAGAAAATCGATAGTAAATGCGCTTGGAAAAAAAGGTCAATATTCTTTGAACTGCCATATTGGAAATTCAATGAATGTCGACACAATCTAGATGTGATGCATATAGAGAAGAACATTTGTGACAGTTTGGTTGGAACATTGTTAGACATTCCAGGGAAAACTAAAGATCACACAAAAGCTCGACTTGACCTCGTGGAACTTGGTATTAAAAAAAATTTACAACCAGTTTTGTCAGATGATGGGAAGCACATTCTTAAAAAAGCACGGTTTTCACTCTCTAATGAAGAAAAAGAATTGTTTTGTCTTGCACTAAAAGGAGTGAAATTACCTAATGGTTGTGGATCAGATATTTCACGTTGTGTGCATGTCTCAGAGAAGAAAGTCTCGGGCTATAAGAGTCATGATGCTCACATTATGTTGCATTTCTTGCTTCAAATAGCAATAAGAAGATCTTTGCCTAAACATGTTGCCATTCCTTTAATCAGGTTTGGTGCATTCTTTAAAAAGGTATGCAGTAAAGTATTTTTACCAGAAGAACTTGATCAATTAGAGTTAGAGATAAAGGAAGTTTTGTGTGACCTAGAAGAAATTTTTTTGCCATGCTTTTTTGATATAATTATTCATTTGCCAATTCATTTGGTGAGAGAAATTAGACTCGGGGGACCTGTACCTTACCGCTGGATGTATTTTATGGAGCGATATCTGTGCAAGTTGAAAACATATGTTCGTAATAGAAGTCGTCCAGAGGGTTCTATAGCAGAAGGGTACCTTATAGAAGAATATTTAACATTTTGTTCTCGCTACTTACAAGATGGTGTGAATAGAAAGCTGCATACTGCCCCTAATGATATTGATGTCAATACTGATTGGGCAATATTTAATGTGGTTGGTCATCCACTTGGGGGAGAAAAAAGGAAAAAAAGGAAAGCTATTCACCTTGGATGATATGACGTCCAGACTTGCCCATCATTATATTTTGTTCAACTCGGACAATAAAGAATTAGAAGATTTGATCCAGTAAGAGAACTAATATAAATTTCTTCTGGATATGTGTGTGTGTATATATATATGTATATATATATATATATATATTTAATCTATTTACATTTACTACATCTTGTTCATAGGGAACACCAGGAGCAAGCTCTTAGGAAAAAAAAGCGGAGTAGATGGGCACAAGAGCATAAGCATAGTCATGAATTCCCAAATTGGTTAAAGGATAATATTTCTCATCACCACGTGTCAGATAATATATTCTGGTTAGCAAAAGGTCCATGTCCAAGTGCGAAGAGGTGTCCTGGATATTTTGTTAATGGGTATGATTTTTATACGAAACATCGTGATGAAAGATGCAGAACGCAGAACAGTGGAGTGACTGTTACAGCTATGACAATAGCTTTGCAAGTTCTAAAGACAGCAATCCGACCAGTGGTGAAGTTGTTTACTATGGTGCTATATTAGATATAATTGAATTGAATTATTGGTCAAGGTTCAAGGTCGTGTTGTTCAAGTGTGAATGGTACCAAATAGAGAAAGATGATTATGGGCTTACATGCATCAACTCCTCAAAGTTTTGCTCTTCTGACGATCCTTTTGTCTTGCCATCACAAGTGCATCAAGTGTTTTATGTGGTAGACCCTATTAAGAATGAGCCATCCTATGTTATGGAGAGAATTCCCAGAGGTTTCTTTGATTTTGAGAGACAAATAAGTGAAGACACTGGAGTTAACTACTGGGAGGAGCCTACAGATCATCAAGAAATATTTCCTAATGTTTTTATTGATGGTACCGATGAGGCGAGAGAAGATTTAGCTCCAATCATTCTTGATGCTCAAATAGAGACTGTAAATGTTGGGCAGTCAGCCAATGAAACCGTAAATGAATATGATGACGATGATGACGATGAAGACGACACACTATGGGATTGGATGCATGCTAGTGATGAAGAGGAATAACTTTATTTTATTTTTGATTTATTCTATTGTCTCATGACATGTTTTCCATAGTTTGTTATAGTATTTGCTTATTCTCATAGTACTGGCAGGAAGTTTTTTTAATATTTAAGGGGTGCAGGTTTATCTATTATCATTTTATTTGTGATTGACCTAAATTACACTTCAAAATGCATGTTGAGAACAGTGAGGATGGCTGCTAAGAATTATCTATGTTAGGGACCTTAGAGGATTAAACTTTGTTAGTGAGATTTGAATAAATTACTTTCACCCCAACTAGTAATGAGAAAAACCAATTATTTTCTTGTTTTGAATCAAGTTTTGAAGGCCAAAATTAAGAGATCATTTTCTAAGGTTTCTGAACATATAGACAAACAATTTTTCACTAACCATAATGTATAATTTGATATGAATTTAGCAATTTTACATCCAGGAATGGACAACGAGAGAAAGGAAAAGGTTACTAGAAATATCTTATCAAAGCGAACATCAGCTACATGTGGAGAAATCCTGTCAGACTATGAGAAGCAGCGAGTAGAACAAATACGCCAAAATAAGGAGAAGATGCTTGGATTAAATATTGTAGGTATTTCTGCATCATTATCAAGTATGGTGGATAGTCAGAGTGGGAGAAAGAAAAATGTAAAACCAAGAAGCGATCCTAACTATGTTCCCACTATCGAAGAAAACAACTCTTTAGAGACAGGTGAAAGGGCAAATACTCCAAAAAAGGTAATATTTAAATATCTTAATTTTGTTTTTTTATACAAAATACTTAATGAGATTTTTTCATTTTGTAGAAAAAGCAGCACTATATAGCACCATTGTCACTTAATAGAGTTCTTAGGAATAAGCAACCTGAAGTCATGTCAAGAAATGATTCTAAGAATCAACATCTACCTGTGGAAAAAGTTAGATCACAAAACGACAAAGGTAAGAGTCGAGCTACAGATGTGAATATGAAAATGGCTGAATTTTTAAGACAGAAATCTAAAGAGCACAACCTGGAACCATCACGTAGCTCTGATATTCAAGTTGATGTTAACATTGATGACATCCAGGATGAAGGTACATGCTTAAGATATTTCTTTCCCCGATTGATATTTTACTCTTATTTAGATCAATATTTTTTTAACTAAGGAGCGCTAATATGATTTTGATTGCCACGGATGAATAAGTCCAAATCAATTTGAAGATATGAACGCTAATGTGTGACCACTATGTTGGGTAGACTTTTTGAATAGCTCGTTGATATTATTTTTGTTTTTTGGAGCCAGGGCATGTTTTGTGCTTTCCAATTCTGGTTTGAATGAGGTATTCTAGCGGATGACAATATATGTTGAAAGATATTGTACTCTTACACATGTGTGTGAATATGTATTTGCTATATGATATAATATAACACTACAAGAAAAATGGTTTGTAGAGGCGGGATAAAGTTGCCTCTATATATAGGGAAGTAGCCTCTAAATATTATTAGTGGCAATTTTTTTGTTGCCTCTGGGGTGTCTCTAATTAATCCGTCCCTAAATGATAGTTGCCTCTAAAGGTATCTTTAGAGGCAACTAGAGATGTGACTCTAAATGATGCAAGTTTAGAGGCAACCATCTATCTTGTCCCAAAACATCATCAGAGACAACCTATTATATTGTCCCAAAACATTATTTGAGGCAACCATATTATATTGTCCCAAAATATAATTTGAGGCAACTAAATTATATTGTCTCAAAATATAATTAGAAGCAACCTTGATCTAGTGGCAATGCATTCTTTGTTATTAATGTTTTAGGGGCAACCACATCTTGATGCTAAAACAATTTGGATAATAGTGACTCAAGCATAAATTATTACTGATAGAAATCTAATATTTTGACATTTATACTTGCATACACGTAATATAAGGCTTGTAGTATCCTATAAATCCAAAACAATATATTTTATTCAACACAATTTTTGGAGTTATATATAAATGGAAGTATTCAAATCTTCAACAATGTAATTTCATAAGTTGCTTCCCCACACTATATATACACAATGAGTATATCTTTCAATAATTTGAAGCTATAGCTATTTTAACACCAATTCATATTCTATATCTCCTCGCCTTTTGCTTTGCTCCACGTTTGCTTTCAATATTCCTCTATGTTTGCTTCAGCGTACTTAATCAGTTTGCGTGAAGAGGTTTCACAGCCAGCTTCAGCACCAAGAGCAAAGGTTGAAGTGCCAAATGTAACAGAAAGATCCACATTGGGTGACCATTTTGATGCAGAACTGCAAATCATCATTTGAAAAACTAAACATAAACCAATAAACTGAGCAAAAAACTAAAAGCACTTCGTACATGGATTTGTAAGCAGAGTGTTGCCATTTAGCTAACAAACCAGCCTAAAGATGATAGTGAGTAGGCCTACACCCCAATTACTTCTCTGTTTTCCTTTGCTTTCTGCCACTGTAATTCTCAGACGTTCTATAGTAATACACAGAATTTACAGTCAATTTTTGGAGTCTAACATTTTGTCTCTATTCTAACAGAAAGTGGAAGTACCAAAGATGAACTGAAGCTTCCCACTGATCAGAATCTGCTCAAGCAGCTCAAAGAGGGATTTGCAGGGGGGTCGTCTTATACTGTTAGTCATGGCTGCAATGGAAGGAAAAAGAACAGATTAACGGAGTGAAGGAAATTATTGGTGGTGGTACTAAACAGTGAAAAGTCAGCCATCCTTCTATATAATTTGGATATCTATAATTAAGAGAGCCTGGCAGTTCACCTCAATGGTTTGTTATTTCCAAGTTTAGTGATGAGACAAGGCAGCTCACTTAACCATGTTTTTGTGTATTGAAACCCTTGCAAAAGGTTCCTTCTCGTAATCATTGTGCCATGGTTCTGCTGTTGCACAAGCAGATTAGAGTTACTTTTTTTATATAATTTTAAAAATACAATTTAAGCTTAATTGAACCATAAAAAATTAAGGATATTCAAAAAAGCCAGCAATAAGAAGAAAAAACTGAACAAAAAAACATCTAAAACATTACATACCTTCATTCGTTTGTAGTTCGTGAAGAAGGATAAGGATAATGGCAGGATTGTTAGAGTACTTAGTTGACTAAAATTCATATAATCTTGGAGGTGCACCTGAACCCATGAAAATACACCCAAATAATCAAAAGTCAATAATCATTCATGCAATCGGGCCAGCAGAGATTTTTAGGTGAAATATAGACTAATTAGGTCAAATAGTGTATCATGGAGTTAAAATTTAAAAATCTAGCTGATGATAGCAGATAGCCAATATAGTACTTGCCGGTGAGGTTAAAGGAGATGAAAGTAAGGTGAGAGTGTGAGACGCATCTGATCGGCTCAGGGTCGTGTACGCGAGCTCGACACTTCCTCCTAATAAACAACTTTAGAGTCGGGGTTATGAAAATAATAAGGAACAACATAGTGCAGAGGCTACAATACCTGGATATGGAGCAAGGTGATCGAATCATCCAACGCAGAGAAGAAGAGATCATCAAACGTCTAAAGAGATCGATATGTGTTCATTAAATTTAACATAGTAGAATCAAAATTTCAAAATAAAAAATTATAAAATATAACTTAAACACATTGTATAAATTTAACTAAGATTCAAAGAAATTACTAAACAAATTATAACAAACACAAAATTCAAATTTAGTTGCATAACTGAAACTTTACTAAAGTATTAAAAATCAATTAGTCAACAACAATGAGCAACATCAATGAACTACTCAACTCTGCCAGTCGGCAACATCAACAAGAGAACAAATCAATAGATAACAAATTAACAATCAACATCTATGAATATGAAACTACGGAGTACGAGTAATATTTAATCAACACATAACAAATCCTTAAATCAACTAATCATTTATAATTTAAAATTTATTAACAACCATGAGTTAAAGAACTAATCAATTAAAGAGTTAAGGAATTACTGCATAAGGAAGAGTACGAAGTACCTGAAGGTCCGAAGGGGAGAAACAGAGAATTGAGGAGGGAATCGTCAAGAGGGGTGCGGCGTCAGTGTGTCACCTGCGTGTAGGCGTGCAGCGCACCACTCACCACTGAACCAGAAGGGCAAAGAGGCGGAAGCCGGAAGGGAGGAGTGTCGGCGACTTGCGGCCTTGCAGGCGTTCGTCGATTTGTGTGGATCGGTGGATGTCGAGTGTCGATATCCTCTCTGCTTGGTGGTCGGTGGTGACTTTTCTGGAGTCCTAAACAATTTGGGTTACTCCAAGTCTCCAATTAGAAGAGTATACGACACTTATTACTCCAAATTTTAGGGATGCAGATACTCAGCCTGGTAAGCCTTTTCCTAATTTTGGGCTGGATATACGGAGTAACTTTTAAACTAAGGTTGAAAAATATCTATTCACATATTACCTTGGTCTCTTAAAATTTTGTCATTTTGACTTTTGAATATGATTTTGATTATTATAATATTTTGGAAACTATTTATTTTAGGCTAAAGGGTCAAATAGGCCCTTGAACTGAGTTAAATGTTCAACTAGCCCCTTATATAGGAGGTTCCGCCCGACCGTCGTCAATTGGGGCGGTTCCCGGTGGATTTTTTTAATGAAATGTTTTTAGCACCTCCTTCATTAGAGCTAGTTTACTCATACCAAATTTCAGCTAAAAGTTCAACCGGGAAGGCAGTCAGATGATTTTTTGAAGGTAACTGCGAAGTTAATTTTTGACTGAGCAGTACATTTCGGAAAACCATTTGACTGCCTTACCGGTTGAATTTTTAGCTGAACTTTGGTATGTGTAAACTAGACTTAATGAAGAAGAAGCATAAAAAATTTCATCAAATAATTCCACCGGGAACCGCCCCAATTGACGACGGCCAGGCAGAACCTCCTATATAAAGGGCTAATTGAACACTTTAAGTCAGTTCAAGGGCCTATTTGACCCTTTAGCCTTTATTTTATGGTTTGTGAAAGTACTTTAAACAAAAAAAAAATTATTTGATTTTTATGTTATAAACGATTTCCTATAAAAATATATGGAGTATAATTGGTCAAAGTTAAATTTGGTTGACCAAAAAATTGAAAGATGTCAAAGTTAATTCGGTATATTATGCAAAAATAAGTATTGGGTCTAAAAAATCGTTTTTTAGGCTTAAGCCCCCTTGCCCCTGCTGTCCCCCAAGGGCCGCCTCTGTCATGTCAATACGTGGTGCTGGCCGCTATTTTTTACGAAAAGAAGAAGAGAGCGCGAGTCTAAGGGATGGAGTTCGAAAAGAAGAAGAAAACATCTTGTGTAGGGGGGAATGTTAATGGGATTAAAACATTCGAAGTAAAAAAATAAAAAGAGTTTAGAGTGAGCGATGATCGAAATACTATTAAGTACAAAGTACATCTTTTTTAGTAGCATGAAATTTAATTGGATTGACTCAAATGTTTTGAAGCAATGTTTTAGAGGCAACATACTTTTTGCAACAACCTTTTAGAGGCAACTTAAAAGGCTGATTCAAATAACACCTTTTAGAGGCAACTACACTTTTGCAACAAGCATTTAGAGGCAGCGCAAAAAAGTTTGCTGCAAATAATACCTTTTAGAGACAAAAAACATTTGGTTGCCTCAAATCTATTGAGAGCTTATAAGATTAGAGGCAACCAAAATTATATGATGCTAAAAAGGTGTTTTAGAGGCAAATAGCCTCAAAGCATTGCCTCTATAAATGATTTTTGTTGTAGTGTAATATAGGGCAAAGGCATACAAATATGAGTGATTGGACAGATGATGAGGTTTTAGATAGCACCGAGTTTGATGGAATAGAAGGTATTATTTCTCAAGTGTTAGTGTGATTATTAATTATCAATGGTATGATTGTGCGTATCTATCTTAACTGATTTCTTTAGGTGGAAACAAGTTTGCACCAGAGAATGATGATATTTTGATGGATCAATATGTTGAAGATGTAGACAAGGATTATGATTTTATGCTTGAGTTAAACAGAATTGAGGAAACTGGTAATGTAATGCCTCAAACATCAAGTAAGTGTTTGAATTTTGATACTCTAACCACTGCAGCTTATGTAATGACATGTTTTTTTTGTTTACTTCCTCACAAATATACTTTTTGCTGTTTTATAGATGTTCTGCAAAAGGAAAGAAAAACCAGAGGACCTACAATGATGCATGCATTGCACACGCGAGAACACTGTGTAACCATCATACTAAATAAATTTGGTCAACCGATTGGACCGGATAAAAAGACACTAGATGAGCTATCGTCGTTTTTGGGAACAATTGCCCACCAATATGAATTCGCTCCACTAATTAATCGTACTTGGTTACGAGTGCCAAATAAGGAAAGGATGTGGGAATATGTGTTGGTATGCTTTTAAGTGATAGTAAATTATTATTGTATATGAAGTTGCATATTTCTTACTTGGTTCAAAACTTTTGTAGTCAAAATATGATATTCCCATAAAAGGACAAAAGTGGGTGCTAGCTACCATTGGATCTGCATGGAGAGTGCACAAGTGTCGACTCAAGCAAAAAATTTGTAAAACTTTTAAGGATAACAAAGTTAGATTGAGTAACCGCCTTGACATGATTCCTGAAGCTCATTTTCGTCAACTGTTGAAGCTATGGAATTGTAAAGATTACCAGGTATATCAAAAGACTTGAGTGCATTATTTCTAAAAACTTAACACACATTAATATATTATTCGCATACTAAGTTTGAATACATGGAAATTTATTCTTTAATTTGTAGCAACAATGTTCTCGTAACAAGCGTAATCGTAGTCTCCAAAAGGATCACCACACAGCTGGTCGAGAGTCTTTTGCAAGAATTCGTGATAGATTGGTATATAGCTTACATGTATTTTTAATAATTTATTTTGTTTTGATTCGAGAAGGCATATGAAAAGTTCTGTTATTTGTCTCAGGAAGCTGACCTTCAAGATAGTAGTAGCGTACCTTTAACAACTATGTATGAAGTCACGCGCAAAAGAACTGAAGGGCGAGAGTACAAAGATGCTAATGAAGATATTGTCACAAAAATTGTAAGTTTTACAATTTTGAAATAGTGCAGGTTTTACAATTTTGAAACAAAACTAATCTGTATGTTTTCTGGTAGTTTACAATGTTAGGCTGCATTAATTGTTTTTGTTTTGAACAAATAATTAAAAGTAGTACTAAAGTGAAAAGATCGTAAACTGAACTTAGACATGGACATTATCTGACAGGAAAGATCAGGATCAGGATCTTATTGCAATACCTCTTTGAAGTTATTTTCACTATCACTAATCTCTTTTTCCAAGTATTCGTTGGAGGCAAAGATGAAATTTCAGTTTCACTATCCTTAACTGTAAACCTACTTCTTAGTCTGCACTATTTGTTTCTAGCTAGATGTTTTTTTTTAATTCTTGCATATAATCTTCTGGGATTGACATGCTCTATTGAATTATATGGATGCACAAGAGAAACATATTAAGTAATGGCTTGCATTATTTTTTCAAAACTTTCAATTGTGAAATTACTATTTTTGTAGGTTCAAATGAAGAACTATGAGGCACAAAATAAAGACGATAATGATGCCCGAGTTGATGGATATTCATATGTCATGTCAAAGGAGACTGATGGGCTTCCCATAATGTGCGGTAGAGGTGTCACAAAGAAAGACCTCGCTAAGTTGAATGAAGGTGGACAATCATATGTCGTGACTCCAGATGATATGGAAACAATAATAACCAATATGAGAAAGCAGATTGAAGTGGAAAATGGAAAAAAGAATGCTGAAGTATTAGAGCAAATGCGGAAGGAACGTGAAGGTGAAAAACAAAGGATGAATTTGATATTATCAAAACTGGCTACTTTAATTCCAGATCTTGACCTTGACTTACTTGGACCATAAAGTTAAGAATATGCGAGGTATATATACTTATTTGAACACTATATTTTTAATTAAATGATTCATTCATATTTGTAATATATCATTCATTAATTCTCTCGTTATCTTTTACAGATGTATGTCGGTGGCTGTGGAACAACAAACGATGTTACAATGTGCTCCATAGAGTCATTTAATGATTTTGACATCTCCTGTTTTGTCGAGTAGCCAAGAGCTTTATGCTTGATGTTTTCTGATTTGATACTTTGGAAAGATTTTTATCATTGTTTTGCAAATTTGTAAAACTGACATTGTGATGGATATTTTAGAACACAATTGAATAGATTATAATTTTATTTCAAATAAATGTGTGATGATATTTATAAGTTATACATTGCGTATGATTGTTACTATTATTGTTATCATTATTACTATTATTGATATTATATTTCATATGTAAGATTTAGTTGTATATTGATGATCAATGATCAACATGTATCATATAAATTTATATATATATATATATATATATATATATATATATATATATTATGAATTTTGAATCAATGTTGCAAAAAATACAATTAACGTGTTACCCAAACATTATTAAAGTGTTGCTTTAAGTTTTATTTCAACTGTTACATATTATGAATTAATGTTGCTAAAAGCAAAATTAACGTGTTACCTAAACATAATTAAAGTGTTGCTTTAAGTTTTATTTCTAGTGTTGCATTATCAAGAAAAGGTGTTGCGTAAAGTTATTGTTAAAGTGTTGCAAACAAGTGTTGCATTTGCTTTAATTATGTAACACTTTTACAAAACGTTACTTAACATGCAAAAAAAATGTTGCATATGACTTTATGTAACGAGACCTGATGTAGCGCCCATAAAAGTGTTACAAAAATCTTTTGTAACACTTTAATTGACTAATGTAATACTTTTGAGGCGTTACAAAAAGTCTAATTTGTTGTAGTGGCCTTTAACTACCTGTATTCTTGTAAATATATTTGTTATATAAAAAAATTGTATAGATAACTCTATGTAAATTTTTTTTCTAACCATGATAAATAAATCATGATTTTTTTGTCATTTAAAGTAACCGAATGATCTTTAAGGACATTGTAAACATGTTTCATTTTGGGTTAAACTTTCGATGATTTCTTATTAACTAAACCTCGATTAACTCGTGCCAAGTAGTTGGATTTAGGATACATTCAAAGCTATTAATAGTGTAGATTTATATTTTATTATTATTGGGGACTACTATTGTAATTATGACATTTGTTCTCTTATATATATATCTGCCAGGGCTACCATTATTGGTTAAGCCTGGTAATTATTCTCACATGGTATCAAGAGCCAAAACCCTATTAAGTTAAAAAAAAAAAATCGATCTTATGGCTTCCTACGTCGACTCTTCTACAGCCGCGGCTGGCATCTTCACCACCGCCGCCGGCTCTGGGTCTGCGCCCGGTACTACCATCGTGGCAGCGACAGCCAGCCCTCCCCCTCCCATATCGACGACGTCTTCTACCTCAGGGCTCTCGGCATCCACGGCGGAGTTCTCACCGGTCATCAGCCAAGTTCATCAGCTGCCGCCATCCTCTCATCTCTTCTCTGTCTCGGATGGTGTTAATTGGCTTCCACCAGTCTTCAATTGGACTCCTAGCAGACCCACGGCCCAGCCATATCTGGATGACTCCTCTGCCCCGATGCCGTTCCTCTCCTGCAGCAGAGTTCCATCAGTCCACCATTCTGGCTCCAATTTTGCTGGTCCGACATTTGCTGGTGCGCCTGGAATCACACCGCTGCACGCCTCTTCTTCCCTCGGCCCTATTGCACCACGGACTGCTGGTTTTCATACAGGTTATAACTTATCCGAATTGGTTAAGAATATTGGTTTCTCTGCTTTAAATATTACCAATATTGTTACTACAAAACTTGCTGCTGTTGAGGATTATTTGACTTGGCGTACTCAGTTTGAGTCCTTCTTGGTGTCTAATGGTTTTCTGGGGATTTTAGATGGTTCTATTCCAGCTCCCTCCCCATATATTGTTGATGCTCATCATCAAGAGATCATTAATCCTGATTATTATAATTGGCTTAAATTGGACCAAACTGTACGCTCCTGGTTGTTTGCTACTTTATCCCGTGATGTGTTGATTGAAGTGCGTGAATTAAAGAATGCTTTTGCTATTTGGAATCGTTTAGAGTCGCACTTTATGTCTGCCAGTTTTGCTCAATCCATGGAATTGAAACGCCAACTTACACACTCTAAGAAGCGTTCAAATCAGTCCATGGAACACTATCTTCGGGATATTAAGGACATTGCTGATCGACTTGCTGCTATTAATGCTCATGTTTCTCGCAAAGAATTGTTTCAGTATATTTTACAAGGTCTTACTCGGGATTATGAGTCTCTTATCACTTCAGTAGACCTTTTTCCTGATAGCTTCACTTTTGAAAATCTTCGGACTAAATTGCTCGAAAAGGAACGCAGTTTGCAGTATATGAATGCTCAGGAGGAGCTAAATCCTGCCCATGCCTTTGCGGGTCAGGTGCAACCGGGAGGACCGCATGCCCCTGGCGGTGCACAGCAGCAGCCCGGAGGTCAGCCAGCACACGTCGGTGGCCAGCAGAATGCAGGGGGTGGCCAGCAACGTGGTCGTGGACAGCAGCGTGGCCGTGGTGGCCGCGGTCAACGTGGTGGTCGCGGTGGTCGTGGCCAGCGAGGAAGAGGTCATGGTTACGGTTTTCCTCCACAGTTTGGTTATGGTTATCCTCCACCAGGCTATTTTCCAGGGGGTGCACCGCATGCTGGTATTCTTGGGCCTCCAGGCTCAGCGGGTATGTCTGTTCAGTCAAAATTTTTTACTTATGCCTTATCTACTTTTTCTACTAATCATGGCTATGCAGGCTCCTCTTCAGCTGAGGGAAATTCAGTTCCTCCTCCGGTTATTTGTCAAATTTGCTATGCCCCAGGTCATCCTGCTTCCACGTGTCCTTCTCGCTTCGTTCAACCGGCTGCACCTGCTCTAGCTGCTCAGGCCCCTGATGCTTCCGAGATGGTTTGGTATCCTGATTCAGGTGCCTCAGCGCATATGACTCCTCATTCAGGTATTTTAACAAATAAATCCTTTTCTCCCAATTCTCATTCTATAATTGTAGCAAATGGCAATACTATCCCAATTATGCACACAGGTCAAGCTGTATTATCCTCGCCTGCCAAGCCTCTTCACTTAAAATCTGTTTTGCATGTCCCTAATCTTAAATACAATCTGTTATCTATTCAAAAATTGTGTGCTGATAACAACTGTGCTGTGATTTTTGATAAAAATAATTTTTTTGTTAAGGATTTAACAACGGGGGAGGTCCTTCTTCGAGCTCTCAGTAATAACGGCGTTTATCCTATTCGTCAGCCAATTCCGTCGCCAGTTGCTCTGTCTGCTGCGTCTCTTTCTCTTTGGCATAATAGATTAGGACATTGTGGTTCTCGTGTTTTGGATCAGCTCAGATTGAATAATTGTATTTCTGGCACTTCTGCTAATATTTCAGACTGTATTCCTTGTCGTTTGGGCAAGTCACAACGGTTACCTTTTAATAAAATTTTTCATAATAGTCCTTCTGCTTTATATTTAATTCATTCGGATGTATGGCAGTCTCCTGTATTCTCTTATTCAGGCTTTAAATATTATGTCTGTTTTGTGGATGATTTTTCCCGTTTTACCTGGATCTATCCTATGCGGCGTAAGTCTGAGGTTTCTACTCATTTTCATCATTTTAAATTAATGATTGAAAATTTACTTGACCGCAAAATCAAGATTTTTCAGAGTGATGGAGGGGGTGAATTTGATAACTTTAGTATGCGAAATCTTTTTACTAATAATGGCATTATTTTTCGAAAATCTTGTCCTGAGACCTATGTTGTAAAAACCGGACCGGTGAGCGACCCGGTCATGTGACTGGGTCACGGGTCAACCCGGACCCAGAGGGTCAACCCGGTCAAAGCCGGAAAACCGGTCAACGATTATACATGTATATAATAATAATAAACATGTAATTATATACACTCTCATTATATATTTTTATTTGTATTGTACATTTATATTATAATTTGGCATGATTTCCATTCTTAAATAAATATATAAATATATTACATAGTTTTTCCTTTTAGGAAATTGAAATTGCAATTTTATTGGTTTAAAAAATGCATTAAAATTAAAAAAGAAATTACTTTTGTTTTGGAAAAGACCGAAAATCCGGGTTTTTCGGGTTTCTTGGGTCGGGTCCGGATCGGATTTTTTCGAGTCAGCCGGGTTTTTGACCATTTTCGGGTTTTGAAGAAACCGAACCGGATTTTTGTCCGAGTCACCGGGTTCCGGGTCAACCCGGCTGGGTCGGGTCGGTTTTTTAAACATAGCCTGAGACTCCAGAACAAAATGGTATTGCTGAGCGTAAGCATCGGCATCTACTTGAATTAGCTCGTACTATGCTTATTACTGCTAGCTTACCCGCTACTTTTTGGGTTGATGTCGTGCTTACTGCTGCTTTTATTATTAATCGGATACCCTCTCCTACTCTACATGGTTTGTCTCCTTTTGAAAAACTTTTTCATAATAAACCTGATTTGTCATTTTTTCGTGTCTTCGGATGTGCTTGTTTTCCCAATTTCACAGCTTCTTCTGCCAATAAGTTACATCCACGGTCAGTCCAATGTATTTTCTTGGGTTATGCCTCTGAATATAAAGGGTACCGTTGCTTTGACCCTGTGTCTGGTCGTGTTTATATTAGCAGAAATGTTAGATTTTTGGAAAATATTTTCCCATATCCTGCTCTTACTAGTTCCACAGTGTCCTCCTCAATGCCATATTCCACAGCTTCCACTAGCTCCCTTATTTTTTCTCCCAGCCGAGACCAACTCCCTGCCTCAACCATACCTGCGGCTCACATACCTCAGCCTATTCCTGCCATATCCCCTCAATCCCTGTCTACTGTCTTGTCTCCACATAACCAGCCGCCCACCCCACTGGCTGCCAGTCCAGGAGTTTCCCCTTCAGCCCCCAACTCTACTGATGTTACTCCACCCCATTCCTTACCCCATGAGTCCGACTTTTCCTCGGCCCCACCAGACAATTCCTTAGCCACGGAATCCACTGGCTCATCCTCGGATGAGCTCACTGCTACTGCTCCGACTTGTTCCTCTTCCGTTGCTAATCTTCATCCCATGCAAACCCGGTCAAAATCCGGGATTTTTAAACCAAAACCTATTTTCAATTTGAGCACAGTTGTTCACACACTTGATCCCACATGTTTTTCATCTGCAAATAAACATCTTAAGTGGAGAGCTGCTATGGCAGAAGAATTTAATGCTCTTATTTCTAATCATACTTGGGATTTAGTTCCATTTGATGCTACTAAGAATGTTGTTGGGTCTAAGTGGATTTATAAGACTAAATATCTGGCTGATGGGTCTGTTGATCGGTATAAGGCTCGCTTGGTTGCACAGGGGTTTAATCAGCAGGCAGGTATTGATTTTACTGAAACTTTTAGTCCTGTTGTTAAACCTACCACTGTTCGTCTTGTTCTTACATTAGCAGTGTCGTTTGGTTGGCCAATTCGCCAACTAGATGTCAAAAATGCTTTTCTTCATGGTCATCTTACGGAGGAGGTATACGTGCGTCAGCCACCAGGATTTGTTCATCCACAGTTCCCTCATCATTTGTGTCGGCTTAAAAAAGCTATTTACGGACTAAAACAAGCACCTCGTGCTTGGTTCCATCGTTTTAGTAGCTTTCTCCTTTCTCATGGTTTTGTATGCAGCCGGTCTGATAATTCTCTATTTATTTTTCGGCGTCATTCTAATATCATTTATCTTTTGTTATATGTAGATGACATTATAGTTACCGGAAATTCCCCACGCTTAGTTTCTCATTTTTTATCCCTTCTTACTAAATGCTTTGCTATGAAGGATTTGGGGGACTTACATTTTTTTCTGGGTATTCATGCGACCCGGACGGCATCTGGTTTGTTTCTCTCTCAGCATAAGTACATATCTGATCTACTACTTCGTTTTCATTTTCACACACTTAAACCTGTCCGTTCTCCTCTTCCGAGTCGCACAAAACTCTCTCTTACTGATGGGGAGCTCCTTGCAGATGCCACGGAGTACAGGAGTATGGTAGGTGCATTACAGTATTTAACTTTGACTAGACCAGATATTACTTTTGTTGTACACTTGGTGTCTCAATTTATGCATGCTCCCCGTACTTCACATATGTTGGCTGTTAAGCGTATTTTCAGGTATCTACAGGGCACCTCCATGCATGGCCTCCTTCTACAAGCTTCTCGTGTTCGTCCCACTCTTACTGCTTATTCAGATGCTGATTGGGCTGGTTGTCCTGACACTGGTCGTTCTACTTCTGGATATGCTGTTTTCCTTGGGCCTAATCTCATTTCTTGGCAGTCTAAGAAGCAACCTACGGTCTCCAGATCTTCTACTGAGGCTGAATATCGAGCTGTAGCACTCACTGTTCAGGACACACTTCATGTTCGCTCCGTGTTATTTGAGTTGGGGTTTCCTGTTAGCAATCCCACGACTCTTTATTGTGATAATGTTTCAGCATCATATCTCTCCGTGAATCCGATTCACCATGCTCGCAGTAAGCACATCAATATCGACTATCACTTTGTTCGAGAACGGGTGGCTCATGGAGATTTGCTTGTGAAATATGTTCCTACTCAGGCTCAGTTGGCAGATATTTTTACTAAATGTTTATCTCCCCAACGATTTATCCTTCTTCGTGACAATCTGCGCATTGTTTCCCCTGCTCAGCTTGAGGGGGTGTAATAGTGTAAATTTATATTTTATTATTATTGGGGACTACTATTGTAATTATGACATTTGATCTCTTATATATATATCTGCCAGGGCTACCATTATTGGTTAAGCCTGGTAATTATTCTCACAGCTATTGTATTTAGTTTATTATCATATTTAACTAGAACTAAACTTGACTTAGAAGACGATTAGGCGGCACAAACGATTGAGGAACCTGAATTGTTTTTATGTTCGTTCATGCAACTATTTGAATATATGTTTTTTATATATAATTTATGTCTTTTAGATATACTTGATCATGTCTTATCATAAGTTGACTATTCTAATCGGGTTTGACCATGTTCGACCATATTTGACTTTATTTAACCACGTTTGACTATGTTGGACTTTGTTAGACTTAATGACTTGATGAGTATGTAGTTATCATTTTGACGTTTAGAATGTGTTAATGTTTTGTTTCATGTCTAAAATGTGATGAAAACAAGTTTATTTTTAAATAATAATAATGATGTATGTAAAAGCCTGCTCTAGTTCGGTATTCGGATTTTGGGAGCCACCTCTAGAGACTGTGATTGGAGCTAGGTACTTGAATTTTGTTTTTGGGTCACCTAGCCTCTGACATAGTGCTAAGTGCTACATTAATCGAGACACACAGTTCTGTTTAGTACGAAGTTCTCCGACATTAGTACTTCTGAAAAGTTTGGTTTTAGTACGAAGTGCCTTGGCATTAGTACTACTGAAAAATCTATTTTTAGTACAAAGTGCTTCGGCATTAGTACTTCTGTCAAAATTCTAATTTTTCATTAGTCGTGTAGCTCCGGCTATTACGATCTCCTTCTGGACATGCTAGCATGTATATTAGACCATGGTCGACCTCGGTTTTTGGGATAGGTGCGTGTAGCCCCGTAGTTAAAGTATCCTTATCCCGTGTTTCGAGTCTTGGTCCTTTCTCGTGAACTATGGCTTCTGGATAATTTAAATGAATTAAACATGCACTGATATACGTTATCAGTTCTGTTCTGATATGTTATCTTCTGTCACACTCAGTTATGACTTACTTTCCTCTGTTTAGTTATGCTCTGTAACGCTCAGTTATGTCATGCTTATTTCGTTTATCAGTTAATTGAAAATTTATTATACGTCATTTACCAAATCTTGAATTATAAGAAACCATGGTAATAGTAATTGTGTAAGTAATTGCTGTTATACTCAATTGATATGAATGTGTTAGCTTGTCTGTTTTGTTTATGCTACACGTAGGTAATGGGGGGTGCTATGAATTTCTGGGCGGATGATCAAGAGGCAAGAAGAGATATGGCTTGCGTTCACACCAGTTCCTTAATCATTATGTTTAATAAATATTTTGACAATGAAACTTATGCGGCTGTCTTGCAGCCCACATACACTTATAAATTTGGATATTACTTTGCTAATAATTCATTTTAATAAATCTCACACTTCTATTACTTTGCTAAAGTAAAATATTCGTTAAGATCTAGTTTCCGAAACCGCTAACATCCAACCAAATCGAGACGGGCCGAGTCAACTAAACCGTGTGGGTCGATTCGGGCAGGTGTTATAGCATAAAAATGGAGAAACGTGTGGTTTGGA